GGGTCCTTGGAGAGGGACATCATGCTTGGGAGGGTGGAGGGACAGCACAGGAGGGAAAGACCCTCTATGAGATGGATTCATTCAGTGACTGGGGTACTTGGGATGGGCGTGTCAGAGGCAGTGTGGTTGGCACAGGATAGAGCAGGGTTTAGGGCTGTTGTGCACAGGGTCGCTATGAGTCGCAAACGACTTGACGGCACATAACAACAACTAAGATCAAAAAGGAAATCTCTGAAATGGCAGTAACGATGCTTCCTCTGTGGGCAGTAGTGAGGCCCCTCCCTGTCCTCAGCAGACCAGCTCTTCTACCCAGGGCACTAGCATGCCCTCCACTAGCCCTTAGAAGGCATGTGTTGCCAGCAGGACCTAAAAGTGAAGTGCTACAAGTATAAAAGAAGGAGAATGATGCATGGGTTTTAAGCATACATTTGCTAGTGTGTGTGCGTGTGCTGACCAGTCACCTAGAAGGTTGCACATGTCTCACCAAGGACTGCAGTGCCTACGGCATCTCTGGAACTTTCCTGAGAGACTTTAAGGGCGGCCCAAGAGAGTAGCTCTGACTGCTTGATAGCTGCTCCTTATTTGTGTCTCTAAACCATCTCTGCCCACTTAATAACACATGTCCCTCCCATTCCAGAAGCTTCAAAGAGCAACCCTAAATATTACCCCTTTTAACCTCAAAATATTGATGATTTGTCTGGAGGTGGGGAAGAGGCAAATTTCCTGAGTTCAAAAGATGGTACTACAGTAATTCCCTAGTGTTATTAGGGTATCAACAGTTCTTAATCTTAACCTCTGTCGTTTAAATGGAGGGGTCTGGAATAGATTGCTATTAACATCCTTTCCACTTTTAAAATGTTAGGAGTTTACATTTCTCGATGGTTGAGGACAGTTCCAGAAATGTTTTTGGCAATGGCAACATCATTGGAAAAACTGCTGTATGCTGTTGGGGCTAATCGCAGGGGACAATGTACACTGGGATGGAGAAGCTGGGGTTAGAATCTGTTAAAAATGCCAGTCACGTGACTTAACAGTAACAGTTCTTACATGCACTGGGAATGCCAGCCCATCTGGGATTCCCTAAAATCACACCTAAATCCCTATTCTGAATGAGCCCAGTTGGGCAGAAGCACCAAGCACCCCCAGGGATGCAAAAGACACATGGTGTCAGCTGCTAACGAAAAGAACCCCTAAGGTCCACGGACTGAATTACCAGCTGCATCCAGCTAGATACCTGTTTCCACAGTACCCAGTTTTAGCATTGTTCTTTGCCTGACTTCTGGGTGAATTTTTAGGATTTTAGATCAACACTGCAGATAAGGCTTGGTCATGTGGAGGGTAATAATAAAGCCTGATTGTACTCTGCCTTACAAGCTAGAATTCCTAGGAAAACAGAAGGCTGTGAAGTGTGGGGGGTGGAGAGAACTGTTTGTGTGTGGATTTTGCACAACGGTGGCTAATGCCCAGTCAGATTTCCCCAGACTCCCCTACACGTCTCTTAGGCTGCAGTCCATTAGGGCAACTTTTAGTGTGGAAAATCCATGGGATTTGTTGTTGGAAGGCCCAGCAGTTGGTCTGGGCTCTGCCACGTAGCAGTTGAGAGAACTGGAACACCTGCACTGCAGTTTCTTCATCTAAAAATGGGCCTAACAGCACTTACATGCGAGGTCTCTTGGGAAGAGCAAATTAAACTGTGAATGTGCTCTGTCAACAAGACAGCATTAATCAAATGGTATTCTTTAAACAGGGAATGTAACTTAATTTTTCTAGAAGCACAAATGACTAAATAGTCATATTTATCTGTGGCAGAAGAAGAGGAGGGAACATAACCATCTACTATTCTGGATCTGCCAAGAACTACACTGTTCTACTCCTCTGAAAAGATATAATTCATTTTTATCTGTGAGGATGATTTAAACAAAGCTCTGTGGAAGAAGCCAAGAGCATTATGTGTTTGAGATGGTATCCCCACTTTCCTCCACCATTTCTAACTGGCCACTGTGCTCCTGGACGATGCCCTCTCCCAAATTCGGTTCCCAGTGGGCACTGACAGATGAGCCCAGAAGCTGTTAGGGCATGGATGAGGGATGCACAGCGAGGCAGAGACGTTCTTTTGGATATCGACTACAAAGATCCTAGAACCTCTCGGAACCATATAAAACAGTGTGTATGCCATTAAAAGAAACCCAAAGCAAGAACACTCAGTTCTTTAGGCTAAATGATGAAACCCAAGAAGCTTGGGGAAAAAACAGGTAACATTGTCCTTTAAGTGTTACTTGGCTCCAGCCATGCTGCTGGACCGTAAAAGATACTGATCCACGCTTCCTTTTCGTCGACTCACAGTCCGCCTCTCACTGTCAAACATGCGCTGTAACTGCAGAGCCAGCTGTCGGTCCTCCTCCTCCTGCTGTAATTTCTGCTCCTTATCTGGAGGCTCTGGGTCTGCGGGTACCAAGCCCGCCTCACCACTGTTTGGCCGCAGCTTCTTAAGGGAGCCGTTCTGTTCCAAGTGCTTGGTTTTACAATGTCTTTTCCGGCCCCGACGCAAGGATGGCAGTGGTTCATCACCTAGATTGTCTACCAGTACACCATTAGGCAAGTCAAAATGACTCAGTGTCTTCAGCTGTTTCTTTGTTTTGGGGACTCCACCCAAAACATTGTTTTTGGGCAGCACTGAATTAACTGCTGAAATATTCATGGTCGTACTATTACAGGGTTTGTCTATCTTGGCATCTGGGGTTGAGCCTGACTCCTCAATCTGCTCTCTTTCCAAAGAAGTGCCACTGGCTCCCACTTTGTGTTCTGAAGAACAGGTTTCCAATGGAATCTCAGCGTTCCTTTTACTATTGCTTCCCTGTTCTGCTTTTGTTTGGCCGGAAGTGAGGAGGAAATCAAGGTCAGTGGAGGTGGGCCCAGTATCCTCGGCAGGTACCTGCCCGCTGGGCAGTCTTGCATTTAAAGCCAGAACAGGTTTCTCCTTGGTTGAATGGATGACTTCGGAGACGAGGAAGTCTTCTCCTGCTTCAGGAGGCAGAGAAGTGAGAGTAGCTTTTGAAAGGGTCTTTTTGATCTGTCGCTCTTGAAAGATCTGTTCCCACTTTTTGAGAATCCATGGACTGGCCTCATAAGAAGTCTGCTTCTGCAGGCTCCTGTTGAGGTTGCGGGGTGTGGATTTGATGATGAGGGGACTAAGTACACGGCCATCAGGGAGTCGCTTGGGAGGAGTGCATGGCGAGCAGACAATGGGCTTGAAATGGTTCAGCTCTTCAGAGATGCTATCGTTGCTCTCGGGGCTGATAGAGCGCTCTGGCCTTTGCAGGGAAGCCAAGGAAGACAGGGAGCTGAAGGGCAGCCGCTTTTCGATGGTTAAGTCGGGGGCTGAGAGGCAGCGATTGTTCTGAGAGGACAAGAGGACACCAATTATAGGATTTGATGCTGGAGTCAGAGTTGTGACCTGGAAGACATTATTAAAAAAACAAAACACAAACATGGTCATGTGTCACTTAACATCCATGAGATGTTCACTGAAATAGGATGCTACGTGATTTGGATATTGTACAAACACCATATTATATACATACAGGCAGAGCCAAGATTACAAGTAAGTTCCATTTCTTAAATTGTTTGCTTGTTTTTAAGTCCAGTCAGAACAAGAGTTGGAACAGGTACAATTTATATCTAAGGTCAATCAAATATTTGTGTCCATATATAGTTTACACACTTTCAGATATACTAAAACATCTTTGACACAGTAACACAGTATATGGGTTTGATGCATGTGCAAAGGAGCACCCATTTGTGTATCTCAAATTTTTATTTCATAGAATTGATAGGGGTGAAGGCCACATGTATATGTGATCTGACATGACCTAAGAGATGTTATATGGTGCATGACTATGTGTTTGTGCATATATAACATTAATGTGTAAATGAGTAACTACATATGAATAATATGTGAGTAGCAGTAATTTCTCATGATGGATAAGAGACAGGGGTGAAAGGATAAGAAAAAATATGAAAGATGACTTGAGTCAAAGAAATTAAGAAAATCACTAACCTAAAGAGCATACAATTTAGCAGAAATTCCTATATACTTTAAATATATGAAAAAACTTATACTGGAAAAAAAACCACAAAGCCCAACCCATATCTACAGCATTTTAAAAAGTTCATCTGGTGATTCCATGCCATCTAGTTACTATGTCTTCCTTCCTATTTGCAGAATCCTCCAACCTAACTACTGGACACGGGCTCTTCTGTGCCTTTTCTCATCTGAGAGTTTCTCTTTGGCCCCATGCAGAGGTGGCTATGAGACAGCACTGGGGAGGCCCAGAGGCGGTCTGAGGAATACCTTGGCCTTGCTGGTGGGAGCCGCTCTGAGCCTGCTCTTCGTCCTGTCCTGAGCAGTGTCATTGCAGCTTGGACTCCTCTCCACCTTAGAGTTTAGATTCCTGTAAAACAGAGCAGTCAAAATCATCTTGTATGCCAGTTAAGGAAGAGAGTGATAACCAATCTCTTCTAGAATCGACCCTTTGCTCTTTCTAAGTCACATACCAAGAAAGACAAGTTCCCTGGGCAGCTACAATACAAAGTGAGTTAATTAATTAGAAGACACATTCTTGTGTGTGTGTGTGTGTGTGTGTGTAGCATCAAATCAGATCTGACTGGTACAGGAGGAGATTGTTCCTCCTTCTCCAGCAGAGCATCTGGTGGATTCGAACCATGCACCTCTTGGATTGCAGTGCAGCTTCTTGCCAGTAGGCCACCAGAGCTCGCCAGAAGACACATTCTGAGAACAAACTGTGGCCAAAGAGAAAGGATTCTTAAGAGAGGTCTCCATCCAAAGGAAATCCAGCGTAAATGAGAAAAGAATCAATGGCTACTTTGCCCAGGTGGTTTAGGGATACTTCACATCCCCTGATAGAATAGAGTATTAAGTAACACCTGGAAGCAACAAACTTTTCCTTCTATTAAGCCTCAGGCCCTTCAAGCAATCTAAATAAGCACTTACAAAATGTACACTGAGGCACCGATTTTAATAAATTAAATAATAATTAAATGTAATTTCTTCTTAATTCATTACCTTTGCGGTTCAGAAAGCCCAAATCCTGGTGATTTAAGAGATTTCAAAAACAGTCTTTGTCTTTTTTTTTTTTTCTTGGTCTTATGCTTTTCATTATGACTTGAAAACTCAAACCAAATTCTATTACAGTTATGCTCAGTAAAGCGTTATCACTACGTAGAATAGACGTAGGGATTCTTGTTAATGTATTACTGACATTTGCATCCTACTCAACTCTTACCTAATACATGGCTACCTGGGTTATAAAGCCTCTTTCTGGTACCTCCTAACAAACGTCTATCACTATGTGTAACCCTAAAGATTTTGTGTGAGGCCCTACAGTATCTTCTGTGTCTGACTTATTTCACTTAATATGTTTTCAAGTCCAACCACGTCATAGCATGTATCTGATTTTCCCTTTCTTGTTACTGTGATTTGAATGAAAGCTTACAGAGAAAACTGGTTTTCCACCTAACCATTCACAGACATTGTTTTGTAACAATGATCACAATCCCCATCCCTTCTCCCTGTGTCTTCTTTCTCATTCTTCTGGTGTTTAGCCTTTTCTGATCCCTTCCATGGCTGGTTATTCTAAGGTGTATGTCCCTTGTCACTGCTACTGCTCACGTTATGGGCCTGTCATTCTGGCTGGAAGTTGGGTCATGGGAGTAATTTAAATACCAGGCTTAAGAGGTAACTAAAGGTCATAGTTTTGGGTGTTCCACTAGTCTCTAGCAGACCAGTAAGCCTGGACTTTTTTTAGGATTTTTTGTTTTGTCCCACATTTTTCTCCAATGCTACTGTGATCCCTTATAGAAAGTTAGTAGCTGGGCACCATCTTCTGGTCCCAGGGTCACAGAGACTGAAGTACAGTCCATTAATTAGTCCTACTAAAATCTTTGATTTTCTTTACTCTTCTTTGCTTCAAATGGGGAGACCAACAGATGCGCCTTAGAGGTTCATGAGTGTATTTTCTCTTTATGACTAAATAATATGCCTTTGTATGGATATACCATATTTTGTTTATTCATTTATCTGTTGATGGATTAGTTCTGCCTGTTGGCTATTATAATAATGCTGTGATGAACACTATTACACATATCTGTGTAAGTCTCTGTGTTCAAGAGTTTGAGGTATTTACTTATGAACGGAATTGCTGAACTAGATAGTAATTCTACAGTTAACTTTTTGAAGAAACACCAAACTATTTTCGACAGTGACTGTACCATTTTACATTTCCTTCAGCTACAATCAGGAGGCTCAGTTTCTCCACATCACAGCCAATACTTGTTATTTTCCTATTTTTAGATAATAGCCATTCAAATGGGTGTGAAGCAGTATCTCATTGTAGTTTTTATTTGTATCCCTCAATAACTAATTTCATGAAACAACATATGATCAAGAGCCTATGGTGATGAAGGATTAAGTTCAAGTTGCTCTGAAGGAACTGACAATAAACAAGACCCTAGGAAATGACAGTATACCAACTGCCATATTTCAACAAACAGATGCTGCCCTGAACACGCTGACCAGGTTGTGTCAAGAAATCTGGAGGATAACCACCTGGCAAACTGACTGGAAGAGATCCGTATTTATTCCCATACCAAAGAAAGGTGACTTGACAGAGTGGAAATTGTCAAATAAAATCATTAATATCACATGCAAGCAAGATCTTGCTGAAAATGATTCAAAAGCGACTGAAACAGTACAGTGAAAGAGAACGTTGCCAGATGTGCAGGCTGGGTTTAGAAGATGCCACAGCACTAGAGACATTATAACCAATGTTAGGAGGATCTCAGCTGAAAGCAGAGAATACCAGAGGAATGTTTATCTGTATTTCATTGACATGCATAGGCATTTGACTTTGAATCACAACAAATTGTTGGCTAACTCTGAAAAGAATTGGAACCCCCAAATAATTTGATTTTGCTTATGTGAAACCTATACTTAGACCAGGAGTCAGTCCTCAGAATAGAGCAAGAAAACACGTGGCTCAAAATCAGGAAAGGTGCTATGCCAGCAATGCACTGTATCTCCATACCTTTTCAATCTATATACAGATTATCCAGCAGGCTGGGCTCTATGAAGGGGAATGTGGTATCGGGATTGGAGGAAGACTCATCAACAAGCTGCGTTATGCAGATGACACAACCTTCCTTGCCAAAACTGAGGAAGACCTGAGGCATTTATTGCAGAAAGTCAAGGACTGCAGCCTTCACTACAGATTGAAGCTCAACATCAAGAAAACAAAGATTCTCAACATTGGTCAAATGACAGTGTCAAGGTGAAGAGACTGAAGTTGTTAACAGCTTCAGCTTGCTTGGTTTCACAATCAACACTCTTGGTACCAGCAGCCAGGAAATAAAAAATGAACTGCATTGGGAAAATCTACTATCAGGGACCTTTCCAGAGTACTGAAGAGCAAGGATGTCAGTCTAGAAATTAAGGTGTGCCTGGTCCAGGACATGGTCTTCACAGTTACTTGCTATGCATCAGAGAGCTGGACAACAAATAAGAATGATAGAAGAAGAATTTATGCCTTTGAGTTGTAGTACTGGAGAAGAGTAGTAAATATACTGTGGACTGTTAGAGAACAAACAAGTCTGTCCTGGAGAGGGTGGAAACAAGGATTTTGAAGCTCTGTTTGACATATTTTGTGCATGCTGCAAGGAGGGACCAGTCAGTCCTTGGAGGTTCCTTGAATCTACAAGCTGCTCCACAGGAGAAGGATGAGCAATCTCCTCCCGTGTGATTACTGCCTCTGAAACTTCGATGGACAGTCAGCTGTCGGTCATTTCCAACACAACAGTACACAATAACTTATGATTTACCCCCTTTTTATGGTTTTTTACTGACAATCTGCATGTCTTCTTTAGTGAAATGTCTATTCAAATTATTGGTCCATGTTTTAATTGGGTTACTTATCATTATGTTGCTGAGTTGTAGGAGGTCTTTATATTTCTGGATATTAAACCCTGCATCAGATGGCAAGCACAACTCACAGCAACCCTATGAAAAAAAGACCTGAGCTCTTTCTGTAACTATCGTCGTTTCTCAAAGTTCATAGAGTTTCCAAAGGCATATTGTTTAGAAAGTGGATGCCACTCCTGCTTCAAAATCTGTCTTGAACTGGGAGCCACACTAAACACTGTCCTCCACGGGTAACCATTATGGCATTTGATACCTCAATGGCACAGAGTTCAGCATCATAGTCACTCCAGGATCACCCAGTACAGCAAACTGACAGACCAGTGCTGCACCACTGAGGAGAATGTTCCTCTATAATTATGGATGAATAATTAATTATAATGTAAATTATAGTTATACTAGGTGTGAGGACCTACAGTTATATTTTCTTTTCTCCCATAGGCAGCCTCTTCATTTTGATAGTTAAATATTTTGATGCATAAAAGCTTTTAATTTTGTTAAAGTTCAACTTCTGTATCTTTTCTTCTGTAACTTTTACTTTCAGGTCATAGCTAAAAATCTACAGTCCAAAACAAGGTTTTTTTGTTTTGTTTTTAAACTTTTTTTCATTTTTATTATTTTTATGTGCACCATCAAATAAGATCTGACTGGTACAGAAGGAGATTGCCCCCTCCTTCTCCAGCAGAGCATCTGGTGGATTTGAACCACGTACCTCCAGGCTGGGTTTAGAAGGGGTCGTGGTACTAGAGATATT